TTCAGAGAAATAATGAAGTTCCTCATGCAAAATGAACTCAAAAATGTTTGCAATAATATCAAGTACATTAAGTTGACGATAACTATTTATATCATTTCTCTCGCCTTTCTTGAATAGCGGCGTCATTCGAGTTCGTTTGAATTGTTTGAAGAATTCACCATTTTTATATATAATCGAGAGTGGGTATAGCAACAGGTCTTTGCTCTGCATGCTTTAAAAATATAATACTGAATTTTGTCAGGCCCAGATGACCTTTTCGGTTTCAATTTTCTGAATGCTTGCTCAAGGTTGCCACAGGAGATTTTATCAAAATGTATGTAGTGGAACTGAGGAGGTCCTAGGCCCTGTCCATCCAGTTTGGAAGCTTTTGCAGACAAAAGGGGGGTCGAGTTGTGGTTTGTGGAGACTTCACCAGGTGCACAAGTGTCGACAATGACCAGAAGGTGTTGTCACCGAAGATTCACCTTGTCACATGTTCTCTCATCTGTTTCACTTGTGTCATCGAACTAATTTGCGATACACCTTGTTTTCTGGTTTGTGCAGACTTTATCAGGTGCATGAATGTCGACAATGACCAGATGGTGTTGTCGCTGAAGATCCACCTTATCACCTGTATATTCACCTGTGTCACCGAATTGATTTGTGATTCATCTTGTCACCTGTGTGTGTGTTGTGTGTGAGTGTGAGGGTGTGTTTGTCTTACATTAACTGTGGCAACCTGTGTGTGCAATGAACTCAATTGTGGCGTACGCTCCAGTTATGACAACTCACATTCGGATGCCACAGCGAAATATGTCACAACTCTGCTAAATGCGTGTTACATGTGTGCCTCTGTACATATGCGGCATCATTAACGATAGTACGACAAATTCCACTGAAAATAAAGTCGCCACTGTTTTTTTTATCGCTTGGAGCGCACGAAAGGAAATCCTTATGATGTTCTGAGAACATCGTGCGTTCCTAGGGAGGATAGGGATAGGAGGTAGGTATTGGGACATAGCGGGAATTTCATATGTGTATAGTATGCCATAAATGCATTCATAGTTTGTATACTATCTACCAAATTGTGACTACACTTGTACCCTGATATGGTGGCGCCCTCTGGTCACACACACTATCAATCATCTAAGAGTGAGGCTGAATCAGTCCAATTCACAAATCACAATTTAGTTGTATCTCGACCGCCACAGTGTTAGGAGACGTTTTCACAGGGCGATTAACAATTCATTTTGTAAGTATGCATCGTATAATGTTACTCAATATTATTCATTGCAAGGGTGAAATCAACGTTTAAGATCATGAAAACTAGGAGGCAAAGGATTCTGAACATGGCTGAAGCGAGAAACAGGGAACTGGACAATGGTTTATTGAATTTGCCAAATTATGAAACGACAAAAGGTCTTCAACGACATTATAGAGAGCTGGAAATTAGAAGTTAGTACCCAATAAATCACCTAGCTATCTCAACAATCGGACTGGACCAACTTCTAAGATATTTAATTTTTTGGATTTCTCTCAGTCCGTAATAGAATGAGTAATGAAAATTTGAAATTTCAAGATGGCGGATCCAGTATGACGGATTATGTAATTGCGATCTGATTTTAGGATAATGATCCCTTTGTCAAAATTATAGAATTGGCGGACAAGTATTGTGATCATAAACCGAATCTATTCGAAATTTGTATCTAAGGTTTTTGGGGTCGAATATAATGATTCCTACACCGAAAGAAAAATCTCAGTAATAATTATCAAATATTTGTTAACGTCAAATTTGTTCATAATCAATTAGCCATATTCATAATTAAATAGTCTTATTCATCAAAATCGTACCTGTTTCTAAGCTTTATTTATCAACAATAAATGATTTATTACCGTCACAATTGTTCATTGTGAACAGCATTATTTAATAATTAACAATTCTAGTACGCCGATATGTGTTTATTGATTATGAAAAATTTGTTCATTATAAATATACGTAATATGAAGGATAACAATGGATATTTCATTTTATTCTTCGTTTGGTTATTATAATAATTCATTTTAGTTTAGCTTCCATCTTACATCGCGTGAGCATCTTCTTTATGTCGTTGCTGATTTTCATTTGATTTCGACCAACGCGAAAGTTATAAAGTGTGATGGTTATATTAGTTCAATCCCATGTATGACAGTGCGGGTTCGTTTACATTTGGACATGCATATTTACGTCAACAATTAGCTTCTTGGGATACGTTCATATAGGTACGACATCACGTATGAAAAAAATGGCAGACGACTGTCCAGTGCATCCATATAGTATACAACATTCGGACTGTTCTCAGAAAAACAGTGGTGTATGTGGTGCTGATCAATCAATATTGAAACATTTCATACGTAAGTTGGTGCGAATGCCTATGTAGTATGCATGAGCATTTTCTGATATTATTTGCTTTGCATGAATTCCAAAGAAAGTACTATTTTATTATGTACATTGGAACGTGGGTAGGCCATCATATCTGAGAGCTGATGAGTTATAAGGTAATAGGTCTATATATACGCAAACAGACCTGATCGAATAGTTTGATTATATACTATATAAATAATATTCGTTAACTGTTACTAAATTTGTTATTGATATAAGGCTTAGAAACACCCCCTCGGGGTGATTCACGACTGGTGGTAATACATCAGGAAATTCAATAAAACAATTAGCAATTTTTCTGAAATGAAGACATTGCGAACATAATATTTATTTATTATCAATAAAATATTCTTTTTCATGCTGTACCTATACTCATAAATGAATATTTGGTTACTAAAAATAAAGATTTTGAAATAATGATAATCGTTTGGTGTGGGTGAAGAAATATATATTCTCAGATAATAAATGATTATTATCATGAAATAATCATAATTTAACCATGCACGAGGCTTATTCATGGGGATGTGAACAAATTATTTGTTTTTCTCAAACAAACGTTTAATAAGCCATATTTCAATAACGGATTTGGTAACAGTTAATCATTTTTATTTATTATAACCAAACAGTTCTTTCAGTGTATGTCAAAATTAGTAAATTTCAGATGGCGGATCCAATATGACGGACGAAATCTTCAATTATGATATGATTTCATTCAGAATTTGTATGAAGTATTTTTCGTAGTTGGAGTATTATGATTATTTCTTCGAAATTCGAAAATTCAAGACGACGGATTCAATATAGCGGAAAAGTTTTGTAAATTGGATGCGATTCTATTTAAAATTGGTATCTTAGTGTTTTCGGGGTTGGAGTTCATGATAATCTCTTTCAAATTTGGAAATTCAAGGTGACGGATCCAATATGGTGATATGATCCGATTCTATAAGAATTTGCTATCTGAGAGTTTTTGGTGTTGAGTTCGAGTTCTGTAATTATGATTTGATTCTATTCAAAGTTGGTAGATGGAGGTTTTCTGGATCGAGAATGATGATTCCTTCATCGAAATTAGAGAATTCAAGATGACATAATATCTGTCTGTGTAGTTTTGTGGCACTCCGACCTGTACACCCAATCGTGGCGCTTTTGATGCCTGCCAGAGTACGCATGGTAATAAAAATTACGAATTGAATGCGCTAGGTAGCGCACATTTACTCTCCATAGTTTCCGAGATGAATATACCTACAATAGGCGAGCATGTGGCATCCGTTGCCACATTTGATGCATTTATTCCAGAATGTGTTCCGGATTCCACATAGAATGTATTTGCTTTGTAGTGTGTGAAGAATGCAACATGATCAAGGTGTGTGTCGAAAATTCCATGAGGCTCAAATACAGATCAGTCATGAATTGTGATTTCAGAAATTATTAATGCATTTGAAAGTTTGTTCAATTGAAAACAGACAGCATGAGATCTTGAAAATTCACTATATTTTGGAGTCAGGTGTCATAAAATATATATTTTTGAATAACTGGTAGATATTTCGGATACAGATATAATTTCTGAATTTCTTGAACTATCTAATCAACTAGTTCAATTACTCAATAATTTATGGAACGTCTTGATGAGCACAGTTCGTGGAATGAGTAATTTATGAAATGCTGGTTAAAGTGATTTCGAGACTTATGCATGCATAGCATTATGAAAGTAGTTTCTGCTTTCATTCGTACCATTTATATGGAATGGAGTTATCAAATGGGTGTATCTTGGAGAGTGCAAGGTGAGTCATTGCTACTTTACTTTTCTCATGATGATTTATTCATACAATTTTGCTTAGTATCTCAGATGCAAAAAAAATTTCGCACAAACATAAAAAATAAATGAGGGTATGGTTGAGAAGACATACGCATATCACCTGCAATTTTCGCTCTTGTTCTTGACAAAAAAATCGAAAATACCCACAATTTTCACAAAATAATTCGAAAACTCAACTCTATCCAATAACATGATTCATACTCTCGAATGTTGAGAAAACGTAGGAAAATACTCAGAACAACTGTTACAGTTATTATACCATGTACTGAAATGATGTATTGTGGTACAAATGCAGGAAATAAACTCGATTAGCTGGAAGATGAGGGCTGCTGAAACGTTTTCGTGACCTGATTGTTTCTTTCCTATCAAGAATACACGAAAAAAAGAGATGATTCAGAAATCTTCGATTTCATGAGATTTGTTTGGTTCTCTGGATTCCAAACTATGATTCACACTGACCTCTAATGGAAAATTTATGTGGAACGTCAGGAAACGCGCCACGCGAATGACTGTCAAAGGTGTCTAGATAGTGAAAAACTTGAAAATTGTTCTTTGAGCTGCTAAACTCATTACAAAACGATTTTGTAGTTTTCCACTATCTATACACCTGTTTATAACTTGCGTGATGCGAATTCTTGCGTTTCACATAAATTTTTGTTAATTGTCAGTGTGAATCATAGTTTGGAAGCAAGAGAATGAAAAATTTCATGAAATCAAAGATTTTTGTTCAGCCATAGCCACAGGCTACTGAAGCTCATTTTCTGCCCTTGTGACAAAATATACTATATAATTTCAATATAGATCTCTCTTATCTCTTGTAATGACATTCTTATCGAAGAATTTAATATCATCAGTCCATGATCTACTGCTGAGTATATTGTCATGATCATGTTTTATCATCGTACCCTCAGCCTTTCCTGGTACGATTCCTCTTTTTATTTCAATTTTGAATTCGTTCAACAAAACTTCCTTCTCAGAATGATTCCACGGAACTCTTCTTAGAGCTGCCTCCCTATTCGTCGTTTTTGATTTGGTGGTTTCTAAGAAAAATATTAGCTGAAATTCCTTATGTTATGAACTCACTGTTGTACAGAGTGTTCCTGTATGTAATGTACATATTGGAGGAGGTAACTTCTTGGCTTTTTCTGGGAATAAAAATTAATATAAAAATGTCTTCTCACTGCGCTATCGGGATTTTCATCATCTGTCACACTTCAAGTTCATTGATCTCTAGGTACTTTGTGATCCAATAGTATATACTTGATTTTTATGGAGTGGTTCTCTAGTTATTCAGGAAAAAGAAATATCATCTCCATTTTCAACACCTTGTATCTAGAAGCCAATCAAATTAGGACATGTTTATGTGAGCTCCATGAATGAACCAAGAAATCGTCTCTCTCAATATGTACATGACATCTAGGAACACCTTGTTTAACAATTTGTTTAGATATTATGGAGTCGTGGCCATAATATTGCTTCGCAAGTTACTGTGAATCTCACAGGTCAAAAATTCAAACGATACATTAAAAATGAATTTTTAACCAAATATTACTTCAATGATATTGAGTATATAACTAGCCCACCTGCTGCAACTGATCTTAATGTAGAATGAATCGTATTCTTTATGTCTTGGCCCTATTTTACATCTATATCTTGAAGTATTTTATATCTATATATTAGTGTTTTGATGTCTTTTTTTATAACAATTTATTTACAAATTTTGTTTCATCAGATTCATACATTATTGTATTGTATTGATGTATTGACTTGCTACAAATAGTCAAATAAACATTATCTATCTATCTATTGTTCATTCAGTTAACTACTTCGTGAAGATAATTTTCGAATCTACCCAAAAGTGAAATAAAGTGACGTTCCACACAATGACAAAGACACATTGCCCTAATTACCCAAATTCGACTGATATATACACCTACTAGGTTTTTGTTTCGCTTTCTCAAGTGATGGTTCTGATGGTACTTCTCTTTCCATTTTGTTTGTTGAATCCGCAGCACTGACCCCTGAAATTCCTTCATTGCTGTCATCATCAGCTTCATCATTTCCATCTAGATCAGGCGGATCTTCTTCTATAGGTGGCAAATCTAGAAGATTATTCATTGATGTTGACTCAGTTTCGTGCACCATCTTTAGATTCATGCTAATAATAATAATAATAATAATAATGATGTTTATTGAAGTAATACCCAATATGTATAACAAATTCATTGCGAAATAATATATTATGGTCTTACTACTCCAAAAGGACAGAATATTGGCAAAGCCATTTCTCAATTCTGCCTGAATGATTACAATAGAGCATAACATAATGAATGAATATGAAGAGAAACGATATATACAATACATACTACATGATATACAGGAAAAATTGACTGAATGAATTAAATAAACTATGAAAAATAATGAACACCGTGATCAAAGTGAGATTAGATCACTCGGCACTAATGATATGTCCTCAATAAATATACATATACCTTCTAGGTGAGAGCTGCGCTCAGATTCTAACGAAACTCTGTTTTAAATTTATTCAACGAGTCCAGCATGAAATATTCTTTGTGTGTGTTGTACATAAATGGAGCAATATATGAATAACATTTCTGATATTTGGATGTTTTGTGCCTTGGAACTATCATATTATCAGTATTCCTTAGATTGATAGCAATATCTGGCCTTTTGATCAATAAGTCATACAAATAACTAGGTATTTTATTTCTGTTAACGTTGTGAACGAGAGAGCCATATAAAAGAGCAAACCTTTGTTCAATTTTCAAGATGTTCATGCTTACATAGTACGGAGTTATGTAATCACGTCGTTTTATATTATTGTTTGAGTATCTCAAGCAATTATTCTGCAGTATCTGTAACTTTCGCTTGAAACAATCATTCAGAAAGTTATAGTAAACACTTGAACCATAATCGAGCTGTTTGATAATAAGTATATTTACAAGATTCCATTTTGTTTCATGCGGGAGTATAAATTTATATCTCCATAAAGATTTGAACTTGGAATAGCATACTTTCAGTTTTCCTAAGACATGTTTTTCGAAGGTTAATGTTTCATCAATGACTATTCCTAGATTTTTCGCATCACAGCTCACATTGACAACAGTATCGTTCAACATTATATCGCGGGTTTGTGTCGATTCAGCTCTGGATACCATAATTTTTGTGCCAAGGCACATAGCAACTGTTTCAGATGGATTGATAGTTAGTCCATGGGTCTTAGAGTAATCACTCATCAGTTGAAGATCATGATTCAATTCACATATAAAATAGTCAACTTCAGATGGATCACAAGATTTATATAATTGAACGTCATGCGCATACATATGCACAAAACAAGTAGGTAGTAATGATTTCACTAGATCTGCTGTAAATATAGTGAATAAGAGTGGACCCAGTATACTGCCTTGTGGTACATCACAAGTGACTGCTCTTTCCCTTGATACTTCTGCACCTAGTTTCACACATTGCTCACGACCACTCGAGTTGCTCTCAAACCATCGAATAAGCACTGATGAGAGTACATAATATTTCAGTTTGGATATTAATAGATTATGATTCACAACATCAGAAGCTTTACTATAATCCAGCATAACTAAGTAGGTCATCCAACCAATTCCCAATTTATTGTTATGTTAGCTAGAACATGGCATGGAGATCTATCTAATCCAATACACACAAGAAAATTGCGATGGTAGTTCACAATACCTTCATATTTTATCAAAAAGAAAGACTGTCAGATCTCACTATTTTGGTAGTTCATCTCCGAAATCCTGCCAGAATGACGCATTTGTGAGGATATCTTATTTCAGGTTGAGGATCAACTGGATGTTCCAGATGCAGCAGAAGAAGGAGATGACGAACTCCAGCCGCTAGCGAAACCCTTTTACTAGTTTTGAGGTTAATGGGTGATCAATGTTATTGTTCTTTCACTGAATGATTTTACTACTAGGTACTTTTATTATATTGCGAATGTTTTGGATATTTTCACCATGTATTCAACAGAACCGAGGAGAGGAGATTGGAGTGGCATCATGGGTAAGTAACTATTGAGAAATGATTTTTCTATTATTTTAGATGTATGACAAACTGACATTTATCATACAGGGCGTGGAAAGAAATTCTGAATTGAGAAAAACCCAATCACGAATCTGCGATTGAAGGTCTATAAAAATAACAAGTTTCCATCGTTCAAGTTTGAACCCCTTGATTGGGTATGAAAGTATTGAAAAGGAATATTCTCAGATATATTATAAACATGAAAAAATGGATACATTTGAATAAATACATTGAGAATTCGCATTCTCTATGTGATGAAATTATTAATTCTTTCTCGGTATATTCAACAGAAAACAACTACTTTCCTGGCTATATGCCACGACGAACATTGAATTATATCAATTGAACATACACGATAGGAATTTGAGCATAAAATGAATATCGTCTGAAATTGAGAATTGACATTCTCTTCCAGAATCAGATGAATACTATGATGAATATAACGATATAAAAAATATATTACTTACCAAATTGGTATGAAAATTGGAATGTATGGGAGAAATATACTAGTATACATACTCTGTTCTTGTTGAGTCGTGAATTTATCAAAAATCATCCGTATCCATGATGTTTGGGATATATGCACATCTCTTTCACATAGGTTAGATGATTTTGATTCGAATAAAATTCATTTCAGACGATATTCATTTTATGCTCAAATTCCTATCGTGTATGTTCAATTGATATAATTCAATGTTCGTCGTGGCATATAGCCAGGAAAGTAGTTGTTTTCTGTTGAATATGCCGAGAAAGAATTAATAATTTCATCACATAGAGAATGCGAATTCTCAATGTATTTATTCAAATGTATCCATTTTTTCATGTTTATAATATATCTGAGAATATTCCTTTTCAATATTTTTCTATTAATTTTTCCTCATTATTTTTCAGTTATGCAGGATCCTTGAAGCACTCGGAAGAAAGATGACAGTTCAAGCATGGTCAATGAACAATCTGTATAACGATCGAATAAATGTCTTTAGATAACTCTGCTCATTGCCTTAGCTCTCATATACCTGCTAATACATATCGAAGTGAAACCGTGAAAACTTATCATATTATGATACATTTTCTCATTTCTCCAATATTGCAAGAACATTATTAAAACTAACTGTTCAACCATTCATCATTGTTAATGAAAATGAGTTTCGCGTAGTATCAAGTTTCCATAGATACTATCCGTGAATTTTCAAAATCTGTTCATTTGATAGGTGCTAGGATTTGTCTCGAGAGTTCAGACGGGATTGGCTAGTTTTTTCCAAATAGAACACTCAGTTTTTTTCTCAAATTGATAGCATCACTTGAATCCTTCACAAATATGAAATATATTTTCCATCGATTGCGACGTTGTCAAATTGCTTTCATGCATTTCGGACAGAGAATCAATCATTATGAATAATCGATAGAGGAACTTGTGATTCAATATTATATTCTCGATTATATCGTATCAGGACAATTTGATATTTGGGAGAAAATCAGTCATCTTGGAGAAAAAGGAGATTTCGAAAAAATTCTTCATTTCATGATTGTGAAGAGTCTTTGTGGAGAATAAGATTCTTGGATGAATTACTTCTTGAATCAACAGATCATAAAAAACAACAGATGGTGTCTGCATTACCTTGATACTACTGCACGTAAATCATTCATTCTCAACGATGATGAATGCATCAATTGTGAATTCTTATCATAACTTTGCAATAGTGAAAAGATCGGAGCATCAGTTGACAAACTCGACAAACAGCAACCAATTCGAGTTCTCAATATGATGAAATAGAAAACATCAAGAAGAAAGATGCATCATAAATTGAAGGAAGTAGATTATCTCTTATAGAATAAGTTGAGTTCAAGTGCCCCAGCTTCAGTAGAACACCCTGTTCAGGTGAAAGTTACTTCTGAATATGCCTCATCAAGAACTGTGAACCCTTCTTCTTGAAATTTTGTGTGTGTAGTAGCTTACGAGATATCGAAGAATTACGCAACAAACTTTTTCTCAACACCTCGTTCTTAATCAGCTCCCTTTCAATATTGAAGGTGAAAATAATCCAAATTTGCCTCACCTTGTACTTGAATTTCCTCTGAAGATTTTCCAGCCAATGTATGTGCTTTCCCTTGGTCAACTGCCAAAAGCAACCTGCTGACTTTGGTTAGCTCCACTGTATTTTCATGGAGACGGTAGTATTCACGATGGACCCTTATATCGTGGCCCAAATGTCTCGCTAGCCAATCACACTCGTTCTCTTTGAGATTGAAAACTTGAAAAACGGTGGCTACGTACTTTCCTAACTTTGTACTTGTTATCGTTTCTGGCGACTCTAAGTTTGCCATTTCTTTATGCAATCGTGGCCTCTCATATAGGAATGTAATTCACCTAACCGTGCAAACACGAAAGGATTTCCCTTGGGCACTCCCACTTCTATACGAGGTGCCAGAAGAAAATTGATGGATTCTTTTATTCCTTTAGTAAGCAAGACTAGTAATTTTCTTTCTCGCTTTCCTACTATTTTTACAACCGTTGAGGCACTAGCTAACTGATTTTCAAATTCCGTCAGAGATTTTCTCATTCCTGCTACACTTTGACTTTGCCAATCCGGTCTGTTAGTGTAGTTCTTAACTCTCATTCTTGCAGCTTCTCCTGATCTTCTTTCATTGGGAAGAATGAACGGCTCAAGGTGAGTGATTTTAGTTCACTCCAATTTTGAGAACTCTTTTTTCTCTTCATGTCGTCATTCTTAGTTTCTTCGATCATAAATTCTAAGGACTTGCTCAGTTTGATCAAATCACCAGTAATTGGAAGTGAATCAACGGAATTGAGTTTTCTAGATTGCAGAGTAGCTGATGCATAGGATGAGATTCTGACGCTCCACTTCAAATCCAAAATTGACAAAAAACCTAACAAAATATCATTTCTTTTCAGGTCACCCTTCCGCAAACATAATTCTTTTTCAATCCCAATGCATTTTTTAATAGAATACCCAATTTTCAGCGTCAAAGATCGAATTCCAAATTCAGTCCTTTTCGCTACTTCTGTAGATGTCGAACAGAAAGACTTTGTCGCTGAGACAACAGCATCAAACCTTTCAGGAGTGAGAGCGTCAATTAACTTGTATATATTCGTATTTCCCTTAGTGAGCTCTATTGTTATCCTTTCAAGTTGCCGCCTAGATTGTCTTATCAGTTCATTCTTGATGCTACCATATTTTTCATAGATGAATGCTCCATATCTAAGAATAAGATCATCTTTGCGACATATTTCAGATATGTCATCATTTCGCAACTTATTCAAAATATTACAACGAAAATCTTGTGTCAGGTTCTGCCCATAGATCCCATTCAGTAGGAAAGTACTCTCAGCAGCTAGTTGCCGTGACGTTTTCAACGATTTCAAAATATTTTTGTCCTTCATGCAGACACATAAATATTTGAGATGGTGCCATATGCAGTTTCTTCATGAAATCTAGACATTCGGGACAAGGACCATAATCAGAATATTTCAGAATCTCTTTTCTTGTTTGGTTGGTCTACGTGATGAGACGAATTCTCCCTTTTTCAATAGGAGTACGTCACAATTATGATAAAAGTCACCATTACGCGTCAGAGCATTGAAAGCATTTCTTCGTCTTTTGGAACATTTTGACATACTCAGAATTTTGGGAACTTCCGTTTATTCATCATGAACCCTTTCAAAATGTCTGCCTGAATTACAAAGCAACTTGTGACAAAAAAAAAACAACTATGGTCTTCATCCCGTATTCTGTTTCCACTAGATGTTTTTTTGCACATATTACCTGAATATGTTGTTCTGTTTCATTTCTGCAATTATTAGAACTAGTTATATCGGAGAGGAGGTTATCGGTCTCCTGGTCAGTTACCAATGAAGAAAGATATTCGATATTATGGACAGGTTGACTTTGTGAAAAGTGACCATTGTCATAATCAGTTGATAGCACATTCTCAGTAGTTTCCGGTATGATCGAACTACTGCGGGACTCATCATTAGGTACGTATTCAGATTCTGATCCGCCTGAACCAAAAGATTCGGGTTCTGATGATAATTGTTCGTCGTCCTCAAAATTCAATGCTCTAGCATTCTCCGAATTCGCGAGCCACTCTAAATTGATTCGTATTCTCGGTATGGTTTGAATTCGTGGACTGAAAGTGGTTGTTGTCGGTAATTCATCCGTAGATTATGATATGATGCATCTTGAGAATCTCGAATTGAAAAAATTCGATTTCGTGATTTGATGTCAAGTTTCTAAAACCAACAGGTTCTTTTTTATTTTATACACTTCATCAAGATATGTGACCTCAACTTTTGTTTGTTGCGAGCAACTCAAGAGATAATTCTTTCTCCTGAGATGGCACCATAGACAGGATGTTATGTTAGTAAGTGGTCAGATTCTAAGAGGTGATTCTTGAGTAATTTCAAGATGAAAAGTTTATATGACCATAGCTGCAATAATGCTTCGTTTTCACGATACAGTGTCGAACTTTTTCAAAAGGAGATAGGTTGCTTGTAAATCGAGTAATGGCTTAATTGGTACTTTTCTACTACAAATGATAATTCAATATTTCAACAAAATTGGATCAACGATTTTTGCGCTACTTATGGAAAAGCGATTTGTTTCAATTCTTTGATACCATGTATCCTGAAAATAGTGTATTCCTGGACCCATGTTCATATTAACTATTCGACTTGAAATAAATCTCAAGGTCAAATCTGAAAGTTTGGCCACATATTTTGATAACACAATGTATATTTTTGGGAAGCTGGATTCTTCGAGTACTATTCTACCCGTTAACGTGAGTTTTCAATGAAGAATTCTGAAATTCACGAGTTTATTTCGTGGTCTGATATCCAAGATGAAGTATTCATATTCTCTGACACCCAATTAAAACATCAACATATCAATTTCGAACTATATCGGAGCATAATTACAGAACTTGTCTGTCATCTTGGAGCCGCCATATTGAATTCCTGAATTTTTAGGAAAGAATCATAAACTCCTACCCAGAAAACCCTTAGATTCCAATTTTGAATGGAATCGGAACATAATTACAAAATGTTTTCGCCATATTGGATCCGTCATCCCGAATTTCCAGATTTTCACAAAAGACTCAATATCGCCGACTCCGAAAACCCTGAGAGACCAACAATGAATAGAATCAGATCATAATTACGAAACTCGCTCGCCATTTTGGATCCGCCAACATGAATTTTTATATTTCACAGGAATAATCATGAACTCCATCTCAGAATACCCTCAATATAAATTCTGAATAGCATCTGATCATAATAACAGAACCCGTCCGCCATATCAGATCCGCCATCTTGGATTTCCGATTTTTGAAGCCAGAATCATGAACTCTAACCCCGAAAACCTCTCCTGATACCAATTTCGAGAGGATTCGAATTATAATTATAAGACCAGTTAGCCATATTGAATCCGCCATCTCAAATTCTTTAATTTTGATGAAGGAATTATTATTTTCGATCCAGAAAACCTCCATCTATCAACTTTGAATAGAATCGGATTAAAATTACAAAACTCGAACTCAGCACAGGAAACTCTCAGATAGCAAATTCGAATAGAATCGGATCATATCGCCATATTGGATCCGTCACCTTGAATTTTCGAATTTGAAAGAGATTATCATGAACTCCAACCCCGGAAACATTCAGATACCAATTTTTAAAAGAATCGCATCTAATTAACAAAACTTGTCTGCTATATTGAATCCGTCATCTTGAATTTTCGAATTTTGATAAGGGAATCATCATTTTCGATCCAGAAAACCTCCATCTACCAACTTTAAATAGAATCGGATCATAATTACAGAACTCGAACTCAACACAGAAAACTTTCAGATAGCAAATTCGACTAGAATCGGATCATAATATCATATTGGAATCGTCACCTTGAATTCCCAAAAATAAACCATTGTCCAGTTCCCTGTTTCTGTTCTGTTTAGATTCCTTTGACTTCTAGTTTCCATGATCTAAAACGTTGATTTCACCCTTGCAATGAATAATATTGAGAAACATTATACGATGCATACTTACAGAATGAATTGTTAATCGCCCTGTGAAAACGTGTCCTAACACTGTGGCGGTCGAGACACAACTGAATTGTGATTTGTGATTTGGACTGATCCAGCCCTAACTCTTGAATAATGGATAGTGTGTGTCACCAGAGGGCGCCACCATATCAGGGTACAAGTGTAGTCACAATTTGGGAAATAGTATACAAACTATGAATGCGTTTATGGCATACTATACACAGATGAAATTCCCGCTATGTCCCAAACAGTGGCGACTTTATTTCCAGTGGAATCCGTCGTACTATCGTCATTGATGTCGCATATTGTAACAGAATTCTGGAATCCAGGAACATGCTTTATTAATGTGATTTGGGGAAACAAAGCCTCGTTGTCAGGTGAACGTATAAATAGAGATATCAATAACGAAATTTGTGATATCAACGTTTCGAAGATTTGTGTACGAGATTTTGAATCCCTGGGGGGATCTCCCAATTCAGTATTACTGGGTGAGGAAGTGTCCCTGATTCAGGTATGTGGGATTTGCCTATTATCTGTATAAAGGTATCATGTTAATGTAAATTTTAGAACTCGAACTTATCTTGTAAATAAACTGTTTGGACCTTGTTATTCGCATCAGATTGCTCAGAAACTTCACATCTAGCGCCCAACAAGTTGTAACAGAATTCAGGAACATGCTTTATTAATGTGATTTGGGGAAACGAAGCCTTGTTGTCAGGTGAACGTATAAAAAGAGATATCAATAACGAAATTTGTGATATCAACGTTTCGAAGATTTGTGTGCGAGATTTTGAATCCCTGGGGGAATCTCCCAATTCAGTATTACTGGGTGAGGAAGTGTCCCTGATTTAGGTATGTGGGATTTGCCCATTTTCTGTATTAAGGTATTATGTTAATGTAAATTCTAGAACTCGAACTTATCTTGGAAATGAACTGTTTGGACCTTGTTATTCGCATCTGATTGCTCAGAACCTCTACAATATCTACAGAGGCACACATGTAACACGCATCCAGCGAAGTTGTGACATATTTTGCTGTGGCATCCGAATGTGAGTTGCCACAACTAAAGCGTACGCCACAATTGAGTTTAATGCACACACAGGTTGCCACAGTTAATGCGAGACAAACACAGACAGGTATGTGTGTGTGTTTCGCCTATCTCACCTGTCACACTCAGTTTATCACGATTTACTCTGTAACCTATAGGTGAATTTCACCATTATCACCTGAATCTCATGTTCCATTTACTTTACTGATTCACATTTATATGTTTTAGATTCTAGCTCCACAGACCTCGATCACTCTATATAGATATATATCGCAAGGTGACCTATAGGTCACCATCATCATGTATTTGGTGTTGCATGATATGTAATTCATAGTAGATTACTTTTTTTTATAATGAATATCTGAGAGATACATTGTTCCTTAACCTTGTGATTGTACTTTGATCTATAATTTTTCCAGTCAAATGGAAAAATATCTCAGAAAGTATTATTCAACCATAACATACATGAAATGACGACGATGTGGTCGCGATTTTTCGATGAAAAAGAAACATTTCGTCAGGGGTATGTCGCTGCTAATCATAGGCGAATCAGACCAATACCCATCCTTCTTAGATATTATGTGGAAAATTAGTTGGAAATAACCGTTTTGGCAAGTGATATAGTCACAAGAGCAGATGTATATACAGAAAGATAAATTACATTGTCTCATTGTGAATTCGAAACGCTTTTGGATTATATGGAAGAGCAAGATAGTGCCCTGAAAGTGATTTGCGAACAGTGAATTGAGTTATTGAGAAAATTCGAGTCAATAAGTTATGTGATCTGTTGACAAGTTTCAAAGTAGCTGTTAGTATCGATGTGGATCATTAATAATGAAATATTCACTTCAAAGCACAATTATCAGGATGTATGTGTCATATTCTTGTACGGGCCGTTGAAGAACCTCCGAATGCACCCTTATCAGTAATACGCTGGGTTGGGGAGTTGAAACAACCAAAATGATACAATGTGATACATGTGAATAGTATGGTTAATCGAATAGGAATGAAGATGATGATGGATATTCTGAAGAAAAAAAACATGACATATCAGTATGATGTTTGCATGAAATAACTTTTGAGACCAAAGGACTTGCTTTTCAAAAACGATTATTTCATTCAAAATGGACAAAGATACATGTGAGACGATGTTAACGGTATAGAAACTAGGTTCTGACTGCCGGCTGAAGTGCATCTAGGAATGAGGTAGACTATTGTCAAGCTCAGCATCTCTTCCTTAGGCGATGGGGATACAAGCTGCGTCAGCGGAATCCCTGGGATAGGTGGTGACATAATTCATCCTCCTGAAGATTCAACTACACAGTGGCGAGAGGTAGTTGAACGGTTTTCATCTGGATAGCTTCTGTACGTGGTCCAATGGAAGTGGTTCGGTAGCAATTGAACCTCCTGTATATCATGGAGACAACATCAAGAATGACGAGTCCAAACGCTTGGGGAATAGGATATTCCATTTTCGTCG